TTATTACTGCTCTCATTTACACAATAGTACATTTGATAACATGTCACGTGTCTGTTGTATTGTTTAATCTATGACCTGAAATAAAAACAAATGCTTTAAACTAAGTTAGTGAATCAAATGCGAGTAGTAAATAAAATTGTATCCTGCGTATTTATAAGCCACAACACAGCAGCCTTAAACAATAATAGTTATAAGTATTTTTATACAATTTATGAAATAGTTTTACAAAATGTCCGCAGCGGCGCGCGTGTCCTCGGCAACAAAGTTTGAATACAAATATAACACAGTGCCATAGCCGTCGAATAACCTCAGATTTATACTTATTAGATTTTTATACCGATACAAATGGATTTAATTTTTAAATATAAACAAAGGTGATTAAGTATACAGAGATTACAGATGATATTTTATACATTTATTACAAACAATATTATTAAAAGTAAATGTGAATTAGTCTTAAATTTTAGTATCGCACTGCAACATGCTAAGTACCTTGTCTTGAATCTTATAAAGCAGGTTTTTTGTAAGTTAGCAGCGAGGAAAATCTTGACATTTAGGGTCAGTTTACACGGCCCATGGCGTACGAATTATTCGAGGCGCGTCACATGCGCCGACGTACCGCGAGTTAGTGTACATATCAAAGAGTAAACAGGCAGTGTTGCAATATTAAAATGCGCGTACTTATTCTGCTTGCTTATAAACGTAACACATTGATCAGAATAAGTGTTTTATGTTGATGAAAATTAATCTTCCCAGGCTGTTCTTGCCTTGCTCATTGTTTCGTTAAGTTTTGCTCAATTATTCGTGTATATGTAACCTTTTTTATCTTTATTCGTGTTAGTTTAATGCGTCATATTTTTTTTGTACAATACATTTAGAGAGCACGGTTTTGCTTTTCTTTAAACATTACTCGTTAAGTATCGTAGGAATACTCTCGGAGACAGTTTTATGTAGTGAAAAAATAACCGTATTTCTTCCGCTTCCCGTTGCAATCAGATACAAGATATATTAATTATGATATGCCGTCCAGTATTCTTTTTGGAACACCTTCTGTTATACATGTTTTTTTTAATACAAACTAGCACTTTCAATAGGTTCCTAGTGATCACTTTATTTAATCAACAGGTTTAATTTTCTGTAATTATTTACCGTTGCAAAGGGAAGGAAAGATTTGTTACAGCTTATAGGGAATTAAATTCCTAACTAATTGACCACTTTTCACTACATTTATAATAAGATTTTATTGCTATATCATTTGCATATGTAACGTTTGATTGCTAACCCATTTATACCTACTTATGTTTGTTTTAAGATGTTACGATATAAAAGGAGAGAATAAGATTGCATTGTGAGATACTTTGCATAACAGTAAATGTATTTGTCAATTGTATTAAATACAATTTAAAAAAAAATATTCCGTATCATTGCTAAGCTTTGTAGAAAACGTTTTAGTTAAGCTATTGTAGTTTCACAGTCGAAATTAAGCGATTCCTTTAAAATTCCTTTTTGGATGTTAAAAATGCATTTATTTATGATCTCAAGGTATTTAAAAGATCAGCGAATTCGTCTTCCTTTGTTTAATAATGAATTTTACAATTTTATTTTTATCTGGTGACAATGGAGTACATTTTAAGGGCTGTCTTTAATATTCTTTATATTTCAATAGGTAATTATTTGCATTATTAATTTAAAACACTGATTCATCTCTCAATCGGAAATTGTAGTGACAGCCCTAAGTTTGTATGTCATAAATATTTTATGTACAAATAAATACCACTTATAGGAGTTTAATATGACGCCATATATTATTTCAATAACTATGTAAGTTTCTGTTTACATTTTGAAATTCAAATTACAAAATTAATATTAAACAGTTTGTCTCTATAGAATGTATTATAAAGTCTTTTGGTATACGATCTTTTTGTAAGCTAGTAACATTTCTGGTAATTTATTATTTAATAAGAAATTAAGCGTGAGTAGGATTTTGGCGTTAAACTTTTTGTCTTATTAATTAAAAGGAAAGTGTTATGCTATGGGTTTCTACTATTAAAACAGATGTAATAAATTATTCTGGGACTATTGGCGATTGCGATTAACCACACATGTGGTTTTCCGAAGTATCTACCCGGATTTCTACGGCGCTTTTTTGAGTAATACGCAAACAAAAGGCGCCCATTGCTTTTACGCGACGTGGGCCGTCGCCTAAGCGCCCTCGAACGCCAATACTGTATACTACTTTTGCAACAACATCAAAAATGTCGTATACTGTAGAAATATACGCAACCGCGTTGTCAAAATTTGATGTACGTGTTTCAGTAGTGGAAACCCAAAGCTAAATCGAACTGTTGTAACCCGCACTGTAACAAATTGTAATTTTTCTCGCACTCTCAATTGTCGAAGTATTTATTTCGAAAGTTTTATAATAATACATTTTTTCGACTCTTTAGCAAACGTATGTACACCGTTAGTCCTTCTGTTTATAACACATCTATGACAGAATGATTCACGGTACCAAATTATATAAAAATTAGTATGTATGTAATGTATTTTGAGTGAATACTCACCCATGCATAAATAATGGAGCTTAGAGTAAACGATTAAGTTCTTTTTTTTAGATCGTTGGCTACGAATTATTTTGAAGTCTTCCATTTTTGCAGTAGTTATAATCTATGCATGATATTGTATCTGTGTCCACCATATTCAGTTGTTTTTTTATATATCTTATTCGTGTATAAAATATTATGTTTTAAAAAGCAATGTCTAGCAATCTGCAGGTGCTGCAGTCTGAGTGCAATACACGTCTCAAGGCGTCGTTCGACGTCAATTATTATGTAATATATTTTATTTTCTTTAAGGTCATAGTGTTAGTGAAACTTAATAATTGGTAGCCAACAGAGATGGCCTATTTTGTTTTTTAATCTAGACATAACCTGCAAATGTACACACTGCCACGCTCGCCAACCGCTGTCATGTGTATCAAAGATAAACAAATAATTAATTTCTATCACAATAGAGACTTGTTAAAACAGTTCCACATAAAATAAGAGTTGTTGAATTTTTTATAAAAGATAAAACATATTAGATTTATGATCTTGTAGTCTGGATTGAGTTTTTTACAGATTTTATTGGAAGCATCGTTTCAGTTGGTGGCGTGCAGTTGCGTCGCCCGCTCTGCTTATTTTTGCTACAATACTTATTTAAAACAGATACTTATACTGGATAGTACAATAGTTATATACATTTTACAAGATATACAATACATTTTTATACAATAGAGCGGGAATATATGAGATATTTTTGTTTTACAACGAAGCCCTGGGGGCGACGTAGCCGCGCCCCGACATTTGTTTCAGTGAAATGGTGCTGTTATATTATTAATTGTACATATTTATTGTAATATACGACAATAGACTGGTAATTTTACAATGTTGTTAGGTTTCTACAAAGTTATTCGCCGGGGCTGCGGAGAATACTTCTTAATTAGTTGAAAAATATTTACTGTTACCTAGATAATTGAAAACAATTTTTTTAAAGTAATATTTTAAACCACTCTTGATGAAGTAGACACAAATTAAAACAATATAAATGTCTTCTGATCGAAAGATGGATCTCTATGTTTTTTTTTTAATTGAATACAAAACAAATTATTTGTTGCAAATACTTTAAAATAATAATTTCTATAACTGTCAAAGTTAAAGTTAACAAAGCAATGTGGTTCTATTTCAATTTTAACGATTCCCAAATGTTAGATTCGCGATATGTAAAATATAGTTGTTTAACAAACTTTTTAGTTTCGACTACTAGGAAGTGATTCTCCGCAGTCTCTGTCCACATGTTACAATAGAGTATATTTTCTTACAAACAGAGACACCGAAATAGACTATATGAAATTGATTTTAGACAATCCCAGAATACAAGATCGAACTTTTTACACACAACAGTTCAAAACAGATTTAATTTCAGTTTTCCATAGAGTTATGTTTATTTTTAATGGAAAAAAAGCAGTTGGTTGCGATATGGTCACAGATCCAGGCGAAAAAATTGTATCGTTGGCATTTATGAGTAAAAATTAAAAATGATATTGTAAATATACTTTCTAGTTCTTCCAAAATGATATCAGTATTAAATACAAAATTCGACTTTGGTTAGGTCAAAAATGTATGTGTGATCTATAGGGAATTTTTGCATTAGAATTTTCTTGTAACTTTTAAAAATAATTATGTTTAGTTTTTTATTATTATTTGTCTTATATTTTACTTGAATTGTAACGATCTTGCCTAGATTTGCATTTATATTAGTTACGTATAATACGTTTGAAGTTATACCATCGTATTTATGTATATTATTATTATTGTATTAAGGGTTTTGTTTGTTTTTTTGTCATTAATAGAAGTAAAATGTTGTAAAAAGTAAGCTCGTTGTATTTTATCAAATAAACACTTTTTAGTCCAACTGAAGCAATACAAAGCAGTTTTATTTGATGGTTTCTTTCTTCCTTTTATCACACTAGGTTTCTCCCGCGACTCCGTCAGAGTGAATTTAAATATAACCACAGCAGGTAGCCCATTTGGTCTTCTAGACTATGCTCTACATCTATGCCAAATTTCATCGAGATCGATTCAGTAGTTTAGCTACAAACTCTAACAACCATCCATCGATCTAAACTTGCGCATTTATAATTTTAACTAAGTTTTGACAACGATTCCGTACGCGTATTAAAAAAAAAAGTAGCCTATGTGTTCTTCCACACCATCTATGCCAAATATAACAAACATCCATCAAACCGTCTAAACACTCGCATTTATGATATTAGTAAGATGTGTCATAAATGTTCAGATCCTGCGTCAAAACCTACACGGACCCGCGGGCGAAAGTTAGTATTTAATAAAATAATTCATGTCTCCACTAAACGACATCACACTGCTCAAAATCACGTTGCTACAATCTTAATTGTTTTTTTTTCTATTAAAATAAAGGGTTCAGGAAAGAAAAAGCAAGTAACAGCTAAAACAATTTTATTTACATTTTCAAGTCTACATTAAGATTCTATGATCACGTTTCGCCATTTCTTGACAATTTAGCTATACTTCTTTGGTTCAGATAAATACAGATATCCATAAAAGTAAGTCCTAGTAACAAAGAATGTCCCAACATGTCTTTTTCTAATTCTTTTTGTGAATGAAACATCGAAATTAAATTATCACCGACATGTACATGAGAATTATTGGGACAAATATTCTTCGATTTTTCTAATAGCATTTCTACTGTTTGATCCGTTGAAACTCTTTCGCCCCCCACCAATGTTCCATACAATCTGTAAAAAAAATATTTACTCTTTAATATAGCGACATCTATGGTTTTAAAACTAAACTACAACTATTTGATTATAAAAGCGCCATCTATTTTTCTCTTCAATTCATACAAGCGCAATCTACGACTATTTTTACTTATTGCTTGAACAGCGCCATCTATGGGTAAATCTTTAATTTAAAGCGCCATCTAGCTATTAGATTCATAGAAAAACTAATAGATGGCAGTGTACTTAAAATGTTATTAATATGTGGAAAAAATATAAAAATATACCTGTATGGTAATGTTGATCTCAGAAAATATATTTTTTGATTTAGTTTAACATTCTCGTCATCAGACCTGAAAAATAAATAATTCTGAATTTAGGTAATAACGAACAAGACTTTTACTTGTTATAAAGTTCCATAAAACTTCAAATAATTCTAATTTGTTACTAAATAAAATACAATCAACACAAACTGTACAGTATGACAGTCACTAAATACATATTTTATATAATAAGGTGAGGTGGCAAACGACCGACCACCACCTTAATTCGCCAAGAAAGCGAAGCGCACGCTGCCCATCGATATTCGCAATTGCAGATGCGGTGTCTATCCTTAATCAAGGGTTAAGAAGACGCACATAAACTGCACATTTCCCCTTCCTATATCTCCACCATCAAATCCATTTCCCTTCCCATTTTTTCCATATAAGAAAAGTGTTTATGGTTGTTGTATTGCACCAGGCCATTCGGCACATAAAATACATAAAATCACGTTGTATAAAATATATTCTTACCTGTCTACATTTTTAGTATTTATCAGAGCAATCATCATGGCGATCATTTGAGCCTTCTGTAAATTGACAGTAAGGACTTTTGGGTTGTTGGGATCACTGCCCGCTGCTCGGAGACTGGTTGATTCTGATTTCATCACATAAATATCAGCTACCGGTAACTTTGTGGATATTTGATATGCCTAAAACATAAAAATATGAATTTAAATAAGACTTAAAGCATTGAAATATGTTACAAAAGTATTTAAAATTATTTTCTATTAGCCTTTGTCTGTGACTGTGTACAGTGTTAAAAAAAAAACTTATGTTCTACATCTATGCCAAATTTCATCAAGAACTGTTGAGCCATGCCGGAGACAAATTTTAACAAACATTGAACCATATAAACTTTGGCATTTATAATATTAGTATAATTTTAAAGAAATTTACTAAATAATAAAAATAAGATATACCAATATACTGTCTTCAACATTATAAAAACTAGATAACATTCTAAAAATTTAGAGTAGTTAAAAGTAAGAAAGTTTGAAATGCTATAACACTTTTCAAATCAATATGAAGAAAACAAATAAAAAGCAATGAACAAAACTATGAATTAAAAATAGAACTTACAATATCCAATATTTCATTGATCTGCAGCCTCTTGCCTTCAGGATATTCAATACCGTGGTACTTCCATTGGAGAAGTTCATAGTTTGCTCTTTCAATGAGAGTCCAGCACACAGAGTTTACTGACACATACACTGACAGCACCGATCTGCAGTTCTTAAGACAATGTATATAATGAATGAAAAAATATTAGGAAACATATCACCTAAAAGATTCAAGCAAAAATGAAATAGTCAGGTCATTCTTGTAAAATTAACATTTACCACATCTTTTCTTCTATACTAATTTAATAAATTGTAAACACACACTTCTTTGTTATGTAGATTTTTTTATAATCCCTTTTATCAATAAAAAGCACTACACTTATAACATGCTATAGTCTCTATAATTTCACAGTATTTAATTTTGGGGGTGGATAAATAGGAAAAAATGTTATACAGGAAAAGAAAAAAAAGTACAAGCCATTAGCAATAAAAGCATTATTGACATGGTTATGCTAATTGTTATCCAAAAGCAAAGGCCTTTATTGTAATTTTGACATTTGCAAATGGAAAATTTAAGAAATGTGCACAATAAAATAAAATATTAATAAAATATAAATAATTAACAATGGATAGAAGAAACCACTCGGAAACAGCTAGTAGTTAAATTACCTGTCTAACAATTTCAGACAATGCTGGATGTAAAATTTGTCCTTTAATCTTGTTCACTACTTTCTTTGGTCCATCCAGTATACTCTTGTAGAATTTCTTTACTGTTTTTTCAGTAAAACCATCAATTTTCTCCAAATCAGATATATCATTCAGTTGTCCATATATTTTCATCCATTCAGACAGTTTTCTTATCCTAGACTTTGCAACATCATACCTAAAAAGAATTAAATTTGCTATAATTTTAACAAAATAAAAATCAAACTTCATAGTTTTAGTATTACCTAGATAATATTTCAGAATCACTACTATTAATAGTCTGTAAGATTTTTAATCTTTCGCTATCAGAATACTTGTATTCTGTTTCTGAGGTAAAGCAGCACTTTGTTGAAGACACGCTCCGATATGTTTTACAGAAAGATACCTAAAACAAAATCCTTATTGGAATACATTTAGAAAAATGTATAACCGATGTTGTAAATAGAACACTAACCAAAAACTTCTTATTCATGGAACTTAACATTATTGAGCTTTTATGTAGTTTTAAACATTAAACGTATTTTAATTTAACTTTCAATTTAAACAACAATTAAATGCTATTACATCAACCGTAAATTAACATTGTTAGTTAGCATTTTATTATATTTTGAACTTGCTTGTATTAAATTGACATTGACAATAGAAGACTGACAATAGCAGAGGCAGACTGACATTGAAACTTGTGACAATAGTTGACAAAGACTAGGGATGGCAAATCCCAATTAAATGGCACCATAAAACTTTTTGCAAAAAATATTTTTTGTAACAAAGTGAAAACAAGAAAACTATGTACATGGAATGATGAAATGTCTTCATTAAGTTTCCTAGTAGACTGAGCTCTCATAGCTGGTTGATACATGCTATCACGCACTAAAGTTGGTAAATACACCTAAGTTTACTTATTTTCACAAAGCCGATTTTCACATATGTGTTAAAAAATAATGTAAGAACGATTAATAAATACTCTCAGACAATATGCGTGGGACATTGTCAAAAACAGACGGTTTGAGTTGTTTACGGAAAAAATGGTTTTAGTTGCGATATGGAATATATATTTTGTGATGTTAAAAGATTTGTTAAATTCAAATTGAGGTCTTATTCACCGCATCACTTATATTTCAACGTTCATATTCTCTAAGGAGGGCTAGAAAGGGGAACTTACCTTTTTTAATTATACTCCTTGGTCTAAAGTTCTGGAAGCCAACACATCTGTGAACATTGTAATAGATATCAACAGCAATTTGAAGTACCTATACTTTAAATCTCTGATTTTACTGAACCACTCTTGCTTCCCTTCTTCAATAATATTTTTGTTTTAAGTATATACATGAAACTTAAACTACTTTATAATTAGAATATCTAGGAAAAATAGTTTTTATTTTTATCGTAAAATTGAAATGTAGCACCTATTCCATGATTATAACTAAGATCTGATTAAGAAACATTTGGTGTTTGTGCTGATAGAAAAGGAAAAATTAATGAACAAAACGAATTATTCTGTTTTATATACAGAAAACATTTTTTAAGAGAAGATTTAATAAATGGCATTTGACAATTAAAAACACTGCCATCGCGCGGTTGGTTTGAGAAACACTTCGAGGCATAAAGATACCAAAGATCTGTATCACACATCAGGTAGAAATTTTAGGTTAGAATATAGGTGGTCACTGTAATTACAGAATAAAATATACCTAATACGTAGCAAAGACTAACGTTACTAAAGCCGTCGTTTGATTTATTTGATAGATACGTAAAACAATAATTAAGTCCTCTGCTAGGTATACCTATAATAAAATAAGTCTGCAGTTGTCTTCCATTTCTTCTTAAGATTGTTTACCGCCACAATTAAGATAGGGCTTTGCTGTCTCATGCAACGTACAAGTATAGGCTGACTTAATTCACACTAAGAATGGACCGTTTAAATCAGGTCATAAAAGATTCTAAATCATAATGAATTTTAGGAACACCGCAGTCAATTTTATAATATCAAAATCGCTATTATAGGTAGTTAATTTTGTACAATGTTAATATTGATAATCAATAGATAATACAATAATCAGTACGAAAGAAGAGTAGGGAGTTAATAAAGAACCGCAGTTCAGTTCCAATTAGTTCATTGATGCTAGTGGGAAGAGTAATATCGCTATCTCGCTTCAACTCGTGGAAGAAGCTACGACAAAATGGCGCTGCACGATACGGCCAGGGTTTGAGTAAACAACCATTCGATTACTCACTCCAGTAAGAGCAGCTTCTTTGCGGTCTACATACGCTGCAAATTCACTACTCACTTCCAGATGTTCAGTGTCGCCATATTGGTAAGATTTTATCAATGATCATTAATGTATTTTTCTCTCTTTTATATTACTTAATTTCAGCCTACCCACACATTTAATGTTTCTGATATTCATCATCATCTACGATAAGGTCTTCATCAGTAGACCTTATCTAATGATTTTACTATCTCACTAGGAAAAACTAAAAAAAAATGTTGTATTATTGAACATATTTAGTTTTTATAGTAGTTATTTGTAGTTATTTGTATTTACACTTTAAAATTGATAAAGAACCAAAATAATCACCGTACACGTAACTTTCAAATGTATATGTAAATGTGCTTTGTATATGTGTGCCGCTTCTTTACGGACAGTATGGCAACATCGCATTTTATAGCGGACATTGCTGTTATTATATTATGAATATATTTTATGGCTTGCAATTATAAAACGATAACGCAATGTATATATCATCACCAATATTGCAACGTGCTAAATCAAATTTCGATGAACTTTTGACTTTGAAGTAACAAATACACAGAAGTCAATGTGTTTGTGCGCACAGCATTAAAACGTTAGAACTGTGTATGGCCTTGTGTTTGTGTATGAACACGAACGTGCGTGTGTATGCGCGTATAGCAGAGGGCAGGTTTATCAAGCACTTTTAGTGTTGAGCCGCACTACTAAACTTCTCCCATTGTGATACCATGTGCATAATCGAAATGAGAAGTATTTAAGTTTTGATAACCTGCGTAATGCACAGTAAATCTATTTATAGGTCTACAAATAACTTCATGTCGTTAACTACATGTTAATTGGACATGATATAGAATTATAATTAAATATTATGAGCATATAGAAGTATTTTAGATTAATAGAAATGCTATCAACTAAAGGTCTGGAACCTACATCTAATTTGAACTTTGATATGATTTCGCTGTCTTTATAATTATCATATTTGTTGTCTTTCTCGTATTCGCCTGGGCGCCATCTTGAATCGTTGGACATTTGCGTCATTCGGTCACATTGACTTCTTTCTGCGTTTCTATGATGACATTCCAAAATGTCTCATTCAGATAGTTAACTTGGATACAAGAAATCCTTGATAAAGGATCTACTTAAATCTATAATATTGTAGAACTACCATTTTTCATATACATTTTTGTTTGTCAAACACCTTGATAAAAGTTAATTTAACTTTCTTGTTGTTTGTTCGAACTGAACTATAGCGTCGTTTCTATTCTTTATCCCTTACATTGATTTTTTGTCATCTCAAACTATCCCTTTATTCTTATCGATGTTATGTCTACATGATTTTTAATTTCTTTTCTGGTTTTATTATTTCCATAGTACAGAATTGGATCCTTGTAGGGCCACCACATTTACATGATTAAAATCTATCAAAGAATTCTTCTAACTATTCACAGGTCTGCCACACACACTAATCCACAGGTCTGCCAGGTCTTCTGTAGATCCAAAATCGTATACAAAAGTCTATTTTAGACATCATCATGACGTAGATCAACCAGTAACATGTCTGATTGCTCGGTTCTCCTAGCGAGGTCGGCTAAGTTCGGATAAAATCGGCAAAATGTCAGTGGCCTACTCGACTCAAAAGGCGTCTCGCGTAAAACTGGCAACGTCGCATAAATTCCATAACCTACATTTTTAAAATTAAAATCAAATCAATTTTTCTATCTATAATTTTATTATAGATAGAAGATATATAGATGCTTTAGATTTATTAATAATAATAATAGTCCTTATTTTTAATTATCAAATTTATTTTAAATACTCATATTACACGACAGTTCATATAGGATTAATATATGTCCGTACGCGGGAATTTCGGAAGTTTTGACTATAAACAATTACAACAGTAGAACGCAGGAGAACGAGACTGCTGTCGAAATGTGATGCTACATGATGTACTTTACTGCGCACTGCGCACAGACCAATGAATATATCAGACACAACATGTCATTGCATATTTTCTATATGTTCCGTCTCTGTCGCACATGCCGCCGCTGTCGTAACCGGTCTTCTTTCCTCCTAAATACGCACGATAACTGGTTCCCCAATGAACTCTCTTAATATTCGTTGCTCTGTTCAAACATAGCTCGTTTCGTCACGTTCGTTCGTCCGCCATTTTCTTCTCACTCGTTCTGCTTATGTCAGTGCTGTTATAACCGTGACTGGGACCGCTTGTTTCGTGTGAAGATTGAACTTCTTAATCACTCTTTTACTTCTGGATTCTCTTGTCAATGACGCATAGGTAGGTTTATAAAATTAGTGGTTTTTTGAAAAATCATAGATTACTTTTAAATATTACAACAAAAATTTAAGTTTTTTTGGTTTATTAATTTAGATTTGATTTTTTTTTGTTTTGAATGTATTTTTTTGTAATGGCAAATTGGACATCGTTCTTATTGCCCACTGTGACATAAATCAACATTTATGACATGTCTATTTTACTCACCTGTTATTTTTTTTAAACCTGGGTCCCGATTTCTAGTTTCATGGCTGAGATTCTAGCTTGTAACCGCTGAAACGTAGATATTGCATCTAGCTGATGTTCACCAACAACCGAAGTTACTTGTCTTGGCCTGGTCTTTATTTCTGTCGTTCGATAACGCTCCGGTTTCCACCTTCACCCCTGTAAAGACGTAACAGTCGGCGTATGCGTCTATCTCTTTCGCTCTTCGGCTAATCACCAAGCGTCCGACACGACGAGAATCAGTATTCCACTCCGTCGCGAAGTCATCGCGTTCTCTTCACTGTCCAGCGGTGCAGCTCTACACCGATGAGAATTTATTCCGGTAGTCCACTCAATAACCGTTCCGACGGCCATTTTGTTTTAGCCGCTGTTACCTCACATTTGTATTTGCTTTTTTGCAGCTCGTGATATTCAACTTGTGATTTATTTTTAACAATTAACTTTATTCTTGCATTATATCTATCTATTATTATGAACAATTCATGATAACAACTATTTTTAAAAATATGTGGTATTTTAACATTTGTCTACAAACTGCCGAAAAAAATGCAAAATTTTTGACGTTTGTTTTTTTACAGTTATAATAATTGCCATATTAAAAAAATGAGTCAAAGGCGGTTTTATTATTTAAGTGTTGGTTTCGAAGTACAAAGTTCAGAAAAAAAGTAAGATTTAACTTTTTTTCGTTTCCGCAGCATCTAAACATTTTGTAAAGAAAAATGTTGGTGACCTTGACGTTAATTTTATATTTGAATGTAAAGTTACTTGTCGCCTTTATTTTGTTATTATTTTATTTTTATGTAAAAAACAGATGGTTTGCTCATCACGTTTACGTTGTCTGAGTACAGAAACACGTATGAGCTATACATTGATCTAGAAATTAACTATTCCCAAGGGGCACAAAAATATAACCTTCATTATAATACCGGTTGCCATGGTAATAATATGTTTTGACAGCAAAATAGCAATGAATTGAATCTATAATACGTGTGAAGAGCAAATAAAGTATCAAAATACAGGATTTTATCTTTAAAGACATCGACTGCTACATTGTTTTTTTTTTTAATTTCAGGTAAATCAAATATTGGAGATGTGATTATAATTATCGTACGATGCAATTAACTCTGGATACTGGAGCACCTATAGACGTAGAATTTAAAATGTCAACAGATAAAGACGAAATGATCATTAACAATGTAGATGATTTTTTTTCTCACGACGTCAAAAAAAGCGGCGATATTGTAAAAGATGTTACAAGTGTTATAGCAGAAAACAATGATGAGTTAAAACAATTACAACTTAATAACAAAATTGCGAAAGACACCACATCAAGTAAAGCGGAAAGTGTAGAAAATGAAAAAAGCACATCTGATGAACCTTCAAGAGACGATTGTGAGAGCAAAGATCATAGCCCAAAATGTGATACAAGTAAACTAAAGAAACCTGAGGACATTGAAAATAATGATGATTCAATTATTCAATCACAAGAACCGGAGTCACAAAATAAATTAAAAAATCATAGTACACAAGAGAATGTAGTCGAAACTGATACATCAGAAAAGTGTGACAACGATATAAGTGAACAAAAGCCAAACGTCATTCCTAAAGCTGAACTGAAAGATGACATAAATGGTGACAATAGCATAAATAATCATGAGGACACAGCTAATGCTAGTAAAACCGACAGCACGGAGAATACAGTATCTTTACTTGAAACCGAACTTACTGAAAAAGCTGAAGCTAAACAAACAAATAATGATACAAAAAATCCGGACACTGAAAGTTTAATTTTTGACAATATTATTGATGAAGTTCCTAATAAACCCGATGAAAAAAAGGATCGTTCCTTAAAAGATGTCACGGAATCTCAAAATACTGTATTTCCTATTTCGCCTAAAATAGACAACGACGAGAATAAATCAACACATTCAGAAATCGTAGCGGATTCTACTTTAGAAAACACTTTTAAGACTGACAATAGTAAGAAAGAAAGCGAAATAACGATTTCTACTTCAGAAAGCACTTTCAAAGCTGAGGGTAATGCGAAAGAAAGCGAATTAACGGATTCTACTTCAGAAAGCATTTCTAAGGCTGACATTACTACGAAAGATAGCGAATTAACGGATTCTACTTCAGAAAGCACTTCCAAGGCTGAAGGTGAGGCGAAAGAATGCGAATTAATGGATTCCACTTCAGAAAACATTTCTAAGACTGAAGATAATACGAAAGAAAGCAAAATAACGGAAGAAAGTGTAGTCTCGGCTGAAAATAGTGCTATTGAAATAGAAGACGAAAAACTAAATGATACAGAGACGCAAAATGTTAAGGGGCAAAACGAAAATGTTGAAAGTAATGTAGTCAAAGAACAAAAAGAATCGTCGCTGGTATCTAAATTAACTAATATTTTAGATTTACTTTCTGACGATGAAGAAGAGGTTCAGGGCACTTCTAAAAATGAAACGATTAATGTTGACAAGCAGTGCATCAGTCTCGTAGATGATGATGATGTTATGTTAATAGATGAGGACACGACTGCTAAAGAAGATGCAAAAACCATCAGTAATCAGGCAGACAAATTCATTCCGGAAACGTGTGATATGAGTACCACTACAAGCAAAGATGATATAATGGATACACAACACGAAACAGGTACGTTTATTTATTATTTATTTAGTTAGTCATAAGAAATTTTATTTTAACTTAGAAAAATTGTTCGAAATCCCAATCGATCAGAAAACAAGAACTAATGTAAAAAAATACTTGTACACAAAATGTTATTTGATTTGCCACTTTCCTTTTCACATTTTACCATTAAAAAATTATTGTAAAATAGTTATTGCATTTTCGCATTTTTGTTTTATGTAAAATATTTTCGTTCCAGGTTCTGAAGGAGTTGACCACAATTTAGAGAAAGGATTGGATAGCATAACAAATGACTCGAATGAATGCAGTACTTCAAAACCTTTATTGTCATTTGACTTTCTAAATAATTGCAAAAAAAAGTTAGCAGATATGACACGAGAAGAATTAGAAGAATTTTGTAGTTTGAAAATTGTGGAGAGCGTTATGGATAGATGTAATTTGTCACACCTAAAAACACTGATTGAAAAAATGGCAGACACTGTTAAGGAATATGAAAATGAGATTCTCTTGTTATCTAAACAAAATAATGTGCTACAATTAGCTGTAAACTCCGTAAATGACGAACAAAAAAAATCTGTCGGTACTGCATTAGCTCCATTAAAAATAACTCGCTCAGTAGGTATGCAAGTCCTGATGACAGATAAGCCCAATGCCAAAAAGAAGAACCCGCAAATCATTAAAGCAAGTGCAAAGCCAAATCAACCTTCGCCCATAGATAAAACAAACCGTAACCCAAGTGTTCAAAAATTACAAAAGAATAAAAACCAGTCAATTCCAGTACCAAGACTAGTTCCGGCTGCTAATACTAACAAAACGAGCCCTGCTCCGGCATCCAATACCTCCGTTCCTGGAAAGTTTCCGCAGGTTACTCCGGTAAACGGTGTAAGAAATTCATCCCCTGTACAAAAGCCAGAAAAAAGATCTAGAGTGCAATCAGAAACAGTAGACTTGACAGATGACGAGCCTCCTTTGAAGGTAACTGCAACTTCAAAGAGTTCTCCCGCTACAGGGGTAAGATTGGTACCGGCACAGAATTTATTACCTCAGAGACCTCAGTTTGTACCACCCATGACTAGTCCCAGGAAAGTGTACATTCCAATAAGTGGTCCTCAATCACAAAATGTTAGACCAGAGCAGACAGTCGTCTTAAAAACGGTTCCTCCTAGCCCAGGTTAGTATACTAAAATTAAATGTTCATTGTGCATTAAAAAAAAATTGTGCCAAAATAATTCTATTCTGATATTTTTTTTTCAGGTTTAAGGCCTAAAATCCTATCAAATAATGTGAATAAAGTGCAGGCGAATACTATACGAATGAACCGACCAGTGTCCACAGGGAGACATCCCGCGCCACTTCCCGATGCCGTCAAACAATATCAACCAACTAGTTGGAAAGCATTACCACCGGCGCCGGACTTAAAGCTCTCCAAGGTCGAAAATGGAATTGTCATCTCATGGAAAATTGATGGCTATGATGAAGATAGTTACGAAGAAATTATTAGCTATCAACTGTTCGCTTATCACGAAACGAATTGCCCACCAAGTACGGCTATATGGAAAAAAATCGGCGACGTGAAAGCTCTACCGTTACCTATGGCATGCACGTTAACTCAATTCTTAGCAGGGTATAAGTATTACTTTGCGGTTAGAGCTGTAGATATAAAATCGCGTTATGGGCCATTTAGTTTACCCGCGAGTATACTTCTTCTTAACAAAATATAAGACTGATTACGTTGAGTATTGCTTTTAATAGAATCACAATATCTGCTTGGACAGATTAGTAGAAATATGTCTATCAATATACTAGAATAGTCAAACAAGGATTTATAGTCCGGTGAGAAGGCACTTCTATAGGTTTATCTGAAAATATGTAAAACTTCCATGCACATAGAAAATGGCGCTAGTGAGCTATTATAATTTAGTTACAATTATGCGCGCCGGGTAAAATATCTCGAGTGTCTATTATTAGTACCATTATTTATTGACTGTTTTAGCAAGGCCAAGAATACTTTTGACAACAGCTGTTTTTAACCATATGCGAAGTATTTTATTTTATTACATCTAAATACATTTCAGAGGCAATAGTATTTTGACGGTGATTATTTTAATTTTTTTTAAGTGAAGGTCATAGACATACACTACTTGTAAATATAATGTTAAGTGTCATTTATTTTATATAGAAAATAAAATTGTCTCAGTTCTTATTGTAAATTCAAAAGTCGTCTAGGTTTAGCATGTTCATCAATCAGTCTTAAATGTTAGCATAATACGATGTTCCTTAGTTCTTCATTTGTTAACCTTTTATTGCATCTTAAAAAAATATACATTCAATGAAGTCATATTTCGTGTAATTATTTTTGCCCCATGTTTTTACAACCTTTATAAAAATGTGCATAGTATATAAGTGCTTTGTGATCAAACCGAAATGGAAAAAAAATAGTATTTTTTTTTTAGAGTTAGAAAAATCATGATGTCGCGGTTTAAAAAAAATACATACATCTGTGTAAGTATGTATAAGTACGATTTACGATCTTGCGCTTTTATCGAAAATGTACGAAATTATCTATTGAAATACAGATTTTTTAATAAAATAAAAAACTATTAAATGCTCATGTGTGTAAATATTAATCGATGTTTTTAAAGAGATCCCTTCATAATGATGTTAAAATCGATGATGTCAAGTAAGGCCTATAAGTATCTTGGTCAACCTATAGTGTGAGAGGAGCACTGTTATCGCGATAACTTCTGTCATAATATTTTTAAAACCTAGATGAGCAAGGAAAATTTCATAGAAATACAGATATGTTGTGACAGCTTTAGTATAAAGGATCTTTTAACACTTATTTGTCTTGAATAGGGGCGTTAGCGTTAGTATAATGATATATTTAGCCCAACGGGTCAAATATCCTTGTCGGTCTATAAGACTGCATCTTTCTACTTTGGTGCTTTGTTGTACTATGCAAGCTTTAATTTGTTACAATTGTCTTTAATATTTTTGTTAAGTTATTCACAGAAGTGTTAAAGGGATAATTATCTCAGAAAATAAAACCAAACGAAAAAAAATACCAATAATTTACACCAAAGCTTAAAACGTCTTTGCTCTGGTAAATTTAAAGGGTATCACTGGAACTGTCACTCGTCTTATGTCATCTTATTGCGGGAATTTTTAGTTGGCAACTCCGTCCATTTACCAGATCCAGTTTTCTGTTGACTCGTGTTAAGATGGATCGTGTTTAGTTCATCTTATTGCGAATTGCTCTTTTAGGGCACAACTTAATATCTTAGTGGATAGTCCTTGTCATCATTTAAAGTAATAAAAATGTTTGTTAAATATTCTACTGTTATTATTGTGAAATGAAATTCGTATAACAAAACAATTTCGATAATTTGACGTAGATTGACAACATTATCGTTTCGCAAGTAGTTACCACGGAGGTGTCTTATTTGTGTACAATTGGTGAAAAACATTTGCTATATTGTGCGGTGGTTATTGTTTACAGCCACAATTTGTTAATCGGTCTATAGTGTTATAAATAATACGTGTATTGTGAACGTGGTCATTAGTATCGACTCGATTGTATGTGAATGTAAATTGTGATATCGCTCGCGTTTTGTGTTTCGATTTCGAGCCATGCTGATGCTTTATACGTGTTTCTCCGGTGCTGTCTTTCGGCTGGTGAGTGTTAATCGGATTACTAACAACTTTCTAGAATTTATTTATCAGTACTAGTAAAACATTTTGTGAATTATGAATAAAATATTTTTACGGTAATAAATCCATCCAATTAGCGAATTTTATTTATTAAGTATATCTGAAGTCAACACTGTTAACCTTAGATAGTATTTTTATACCGAAAAAAAATATACAACCATATACAATTAATAATGTAGCCATCTTTATAAAATATCTTTTACATACAGTAGGTTTATTCTGCTCTATTAGATATAAACACTGTCTACTTTATGTAAAGTATATAAGCTTCAAATATTAAGTTTTATTGCATACATGTCAGTTGTTTATAATTGTGTTATAAAATGTGATGACATTAATTGGTAATAACATTGACAAACAAAAATGCTATCTACATCCATTTGAACCAGTTATCAATAATTAAATATGTCATTATCTTTAATAGTAAACCAAATAGACACTTAGATGTACAATATTAAAATAAATATATAGTTAAACTAGCCTTGTCAATTGTGTTAACAATATAAATCTATTAGACAAAACACTGGCCAGTTACAATTTTATAATAAAAAAAAGTTCCAGTGGCCACCATCCAGTTCCAGATGTTAGACATTTTATTACCTTTGTCAAAGAATAATTCGTAAACAAATTCTGGAAAATGGACAACATAGACTTTTTAACCCTTTAATATCTCTTCAGTTGTTTGTTAGGAAATATTATGAAAAGAAATAAACATTATTAGTAACAAAGTTTTGCATATTGCAGGTTTTTTATATAGTAATATCTGTTTTTAAATTTGTTTCTTTGTTCAAACTAAAAAAAGACAATGGGTGAGAAGCTGTCAATATGTGATGACAGTTATAATTGACTGTGCTACTTGTATGTACTCACATTTGTCAATGAAAACAAGAGTTACCAAGTTATAATGATAATAGTAGAAACCGTTTGAAAAGAATGTTTAAGCATTCATGGTTTGTCAGTGGATGATCAAGGGGGCTTTAAAACAAGGATCAAGGGACTTAGTAATAAAAATACTTCCATTATTCCAAAGAGAATGTTTATCAACATAGGGTCCATATTTTAATAAAAAAACTACAATTAACTTATTAAAATTAACTTATTAAATTATATAAAAGATTACAAGTCTAAAGCTAGATAACTGAATATTGTTAATGAAAATGTTGACTTGCATTCTTCAAATATCGGCTTTTGTATCATCATAATGTCAATAATTTTGCTTGTTATTATATAATATTGTTATTGTTTATTACTTAACACTTCCTTTGATTTATTGCTGCATCTTGTCAACACATCTTCATTGCAAATTGTACTAATTTATTCAAACCTACAAAGAAATATAATTTTTAGCTTTAAATTGCGACAGAAGGGTACATCATACAAAGTATAGAATGCAAAAATTTCATTAAACTTCAACTTGGACTTCAAAGTATGAAAAAAAATATATTGCTGATGCCCCACATAAATATGTATTTATATTAATTTTAGTTATCGTTTATTAGTGAGAGACATGTTTCTAAATATGTAAATATCCATAGATAAATAAATGAAATACAAAATAGTCAAAATACTTGTATCTATGAGACAGCTGATTTTTTTTAAATAATTAATTGATTCAATTGTTTTTTTAGATGATTACATCAACATTGTGGATGTAAAAAACATCTGAAGGTTGGCTGTTATCTGTCGTTTGTTTTCCAAATATATTGCATTTGGCTTATAAAAAGTTGATATAGATAACTCTATATAATCTGTACCAAGATTAATAAGTTCTTGATGTTTTTTATATTTTATTTGTGAACACAACCATTGTGTGATTGATTCGTAGATAATTAAACTTATAGGGCCATTCACACAAAATTGTAAATTGTCTGATAATAATCTAACATCTAAAATATGTGATGGAGATATCAGTTTTTATTACCTTATCTATTAGTAACATTATTTTTAAGCTATCTGAGACTCTATCATCCAGTGGTGGGACAGGTATTTGTTTGCACAACTAAAATCGAGTAGTGTATGCAACTTCATATAAGGTCATCAAAAATCAAAGTAAACTAAATAGTTGTGCGATAGTTTTGTCAAAGATGTCCGCGCGCTCTTAAGCGTACAAGATTAAATTATTTTGTTCTCATTGATTTATCATTCATCCAGCGACTAGCGTAAAAGACGAGATTTGACGTTTCAAAGATTCAGTTTTGATAGGCTTTAGATATAGGTCAAGGCTGATTCAATTAATCCCAAAGTTTTAGTTCGTTTCGATGTTTAGGTGTGATTGTTCCCCATCTCACTCACATGTATGATGTTTAAGAGGGACAAAACACAACTGGTCCAAGAGCAAATGCGAAAGGACACGTGAAGCTAGCCGTTGGAGCGGGGCAGCGACTTTCCGATGCACACTTTCACTCCGATAGCGCCTACTCCTGATCACTTTCGCCCAACCCACGATAAAGTTTACCTCTTGAAATGCGATACTATGTTACTAATACATTACTCATTTTTTTCGGTTTTTAGAGTTCGACATTGACGTATTATGTATCGGAAGACATAAATTAATAAAATAAAACTTAAATTCATCTGAATTTTCATTTGCATAATAAGTTAGTTAGTTAGTTTTGTCCGCGAAGTTTAAAAAAGCCTGTCAGTTCTTCCCGATTATGTTCTATATCTGTGCCAGATTTAATCAAGATCCAACCATCCATACATCCATCCATACTTTTGCTTTAATGATCTATACAAATATTATAAAGAGGAAAGATTTGTATTTTTGGATTTTCGTATGTATTGAAATTAAAAAATTACTAGCCCGATTTTATAAATTCTTTCACCATTAAAAAGCTACGTTACCAGTGAGTAACATAAGCTTATCATATATTTTTTATTAATTTTTAAATTTACGCGGGTGAAGTCGCGAGTACAGCTAGTATTAGTATAAAGAAAGAAAAATGGCGGGAAGTTTAAAATTGGATGGATGTAAGATCAGTCTTTTCTATAATCTTTGTAAAAACAAACACTCCAAAACTTTAACGTCGGTGGAAACCTACGATTATTCGGACAGGTATAGAACAACAAATATTGCGTTATTCAATTTATATTTAACTACTCTCGACCTTTGTCTTTACCGACGTCCGCCAACTGAGGCACCGTGTCGACTAATTATTGCTGACAACTCGTGAGTGTTCGCCAAAACGTCATTTAAATAAGATTGTGTACAATAGGAATTCTGAAACGAAATGTTCTCTTTCATTCGTAACCGCAGTTTATAATCTGTCAGACGATTAAACACAGATTTGTCATTTAAAACGCTGTTATGTATTGTATTAAAATGTCGTTTGAGTATTTGACCGACTATAGTCGAGGAGGAAAAGGTTATGTCTATAGGAAAATGCAGTTGCTTATTAGTAAAATATGTTTTTTTCGAGCAGTACATTTTCTAAAGTTCGGTACTTTTATCTATACTAATATTACAAAGAGGAAAGATTTGTATTTTTGTATGTATTGAAATAACTCAAAAACCACTGGTAGGATTTTAACAATTCTTTCACAATTAGAAAGGAAATTTATCTGTGAGTAACATAGGCTTTATTTTATTATTACTAATTTCGAGGAACTATTAATAATTAAGATGTATCTGGACCACGGCATTAATCACGTATAAAGAATGTAATCAAGGGAGAGAATACTATCTAATTGATGTATTATCGTTTTTGTTTCGCAAACAGAAAACAAATTTATAGAATAACTAAACATTTCAGTTAAAACAAAAGTATTATTATTTTAGTATAAGATAACGTACTAAACAAAATCAATGTCATAATTCGAATGCAAATTAAGATAAGAAATATAGATAAATAATTAAATAGGTATAATTATAAGTGATAATACGTGATTTATGATATGAATGCTTCAAACAGCAATGTATTGTAACATGTCTTACTAATATTAAAAGTTTAGATGGATGGATGTTTGTTAGATATCTACAGAACATACGGATCTAGATGAAATTTGCCACATATGGAGAACAAAGAAATACATTGGTTATTTACTAAGGTTTTATTTTAATTCCACGCGAACTGAGTTTAGGGAAAAAGCTAATACTTAAGATGTGCTATGTTGATTCAAACCACTATGTTTATAGTCAAACTAGGGAATAGATGGATTGTAGTTAGATAGATGTAGATTAGATATAAAATTTATTGAGCCCTTATGTCGTGGAGTAAAGTCCCCGCCCAGGTATCTGGTTTTTCCGAATTTGGCGTCTATTACCATGGTAAATGTCCACTAATTATTTAGTATGGAAATTACCACTTTTCTAAACGTATAAAATCATACTTTTGTTTATAATTTTTATTTACCTAATATTTTAATTAAAGTAATGTTATCGTTTAACAATCTTAAATACTTTTTTATTAAATTGTAATGATTTTGCAAACAAATGTAATGAATGTAATGTGTAATGAAATAACTCTAAAACTACTGGGTCGATTTCAAAAATCCTTTCACCATCGGAAAGATACGTTATTAGTGAGTAACATAGGCTATATTTTTTATTATTTTTTTAACTTCATACAGACGAAGTAGCGAGCAAAAGCTAGCTATATTAGTATAGACAACATATATGTACTTTGTGTACTAAAGATTTTTTTTATTACAAATGAATGTAAACAATTTCTAGGCTAATGCTAGAATATGGTTTACGATAGTTCAATGGCGAATCTCGACCTCTCTATTTTCCAAGAAGAAATGAGACTTAGGTCTGTCATGTATGTCTATAGTTAGATAATCCGAATACTGTGCTTTTAAATAACATTAATACTAGAATATTATTAAATCCAGATGAAACCAACGACCTCATAATTTCAGTGTCGTTGTACGGAATCGAATGTAGGTGAAAATGTTAAATATAGAGTAGTATCGGTCAACGTTCGCTGTGAGACCAATCGGCTAATGGTACTGTCTGCGATTTT